GAAACTTTGTAAATCTTCATGGTGTGGAGTCCAAAGCGGATGAATTGTACTGATGAGACATTAGGCACATTGGTTTTGTTCAAATGACATTGAAATAGAAAACAGATGGAAAAGAAACTCATTATTAGTTAATGATGTGCACACCAGCACCCGGTATACATCTCTGCCATGGCCATCTTAGTACTTTTGATTCCACCAGCATGTTCCAGTCCTTGTTTTATGTCATGTGCATTCAGCAAGTTATTTCCACTGGTTATCCATGAACGCATTCAATCCTTAGCTACTCCACAAACTCGGTCACATATGGGCGTGTTCAACCGACATGAAGCCCCATTAATATTTCTTTTTGATACAGCTCTATTGTAAGGATAAAACACACTATTATTCGGGTCATATGAGAGAGAATCTCATATGACCCGGACAATAGTGGGTTTTATCCTTACAATAGAGCTGTATCAAAAATAAATATTAATGGGACTTCATGTCGATTGGACACGCCCAATATATCTTTACCTTTTTGCATCTCACTATAATCCTTAGTCAATAAATCGATACCAAATGACACAATATAGCACATTAGTTATGTAAAGGACAATAGTGTAGCAGAAACTCACTTTCTTACAAATCACTTTTTCAGCTTCAGGAGTTGCATGTGAGGAGAAATTGCCTGCGTCGTCTGCCCATTTATTCAATTTTTTGATATGTAGATAATCAACTCTAAAGTGCTTTAAAGTGACTTCACCGGCACTTACGATGGAAGGCAACGAACTGATAAATTGCTTTTAAAGTTTGATGTTGCCAATTTGTAGAGCTTGTTGAGTTATTAACTGATATCATAATCATTTGGGCCAACGACACGTTTAAGAGTAAATCTATATATCAGCTTGTACGCGTAACCACAATGATCGGGGGTTCGAATTCAATTTCCTAAGAAATCATTATTGCCATCTTGTAGAGCATAGTTGAAAGTGTATGAAAACATATTTTATATCATTAATAAGCGGTTCATATCGCGTTTGAAAACTTGTAACAAAGATGTCACTAGCAGATGACCAAAAGTCATCTATCTGGACCATCAATCAATTGAACCCATATATTGATGTGGTCTTGATATATGGAGAGTTGATTAAGACTAATTAAGTCTATGTTATTAGAAGTATCTATTTGCTTAATCATTACTTTTTATATCTCATCCTTGCTTTTAGCCACTTAACCGAAAACTACCATATTTACAACGTCATCGCGTAACGAAAACATGAGTATTGTTTTTTGCCTACCTATTAATAACCATTATTTTTTTTAATACAAATTATATATCTAAAGCTAACTTTTTACCGGGCTATCTAATGCATATATTTTTGTTTGGACAAAGCTCCGTTTTATAATAGTTTTACGTAACGCGATGACGTTTTTTTTCAACTTTTTCTTATGTTTTTCTCATTTAAAAAAGAGCATTTGCAAGTAGAGATTTGCATTCAAAGATCACTATAAGTCATCAATATTAGATTCTGTAACTGATTATTGACAAATTAATTGTCATAAACAGATAATTGATTAGCCTACATTGATAATAACTGTTCAAATTAAACCACCAATTTATTTTGACTATAGCTTTAATTAAGCTAATGAAGTTTGATTCTAATAATAATTTCAACCTTATATCTTGTAAAACAGTATCAAAGCATTATTTTTGAGAAATTTCTAGCAGGTTTTTGAATTTTTTACTGAACCAATGGCTAAATCAAATGCTGAAAGACAAAAACTCTATTCTATAAATTTATCATAAAATAAATCAAAATTTGAACAAATGAGACAAAAGTCTCGTATTCGTGATAATACAAGACGCCAGAATTTAAAAAATGATTCATTAGAACGATTACGTATTCGACAAAAACAAGCTTCAAAATAATATCGTGATAAAAAATGGTTAGAACGTTCAAATGGTAAACAATTCTCGTCATCTAAAAATCGTCAATCTTTTGGCAAAGCAGTTAAACGTGTTATTCAATCATTACCAAAAGATACAGATAAACATGTTACTCTGGTTCGTCATATTGCACAAGAACTTAATGTTATTCCAAAAACAATTACTCAACATCAACGTCAACAACATTCGTTACCAATCGAATTGCAAGAATTAATTATTAAATTTTATAATCGAGAAGATATTAGTTATTAGTTGGCTGGTGGACGTGATTGTATTACATTTAAAGATAATGATGATAGTTCAACAACATTACAAAAAAGAATTCTGTTATATAGAGTTCTTGAAACATTTGAATTATTTTTAACTGAGTATGTGGATACAAATATTAATTTGTCATTAACTTCATTTAATGATTTAAGACCAATGAACATATTAGTACAATCTTATACGCCTGAGCGTAGTTGTTTAGGTATGTACCATGAAAATATGAATTTATTATTAAAACCATTATCAAAATATATTCATTGTCCTGGTTTACATTCACTTCAATAATTTTCGGCAACGCTTGTTTGCAACGAAGAAGCAGAAAATTGTATGTTTAGCCACTGTGTATCTTGTGCAAATAATTTTAATAATAAAATCTTAAATATTGTTAATGATCCCAAACAACAAATTCAATGGTTTCAATGGATATGTCAGGATGGAAAAACCAAAAAATTTGAATTTAATGATACTATTGAACAATGTTTAGCAGTTTTGAAAGAAAAACTTGGACCATTC